AAAGTGCTTAAATTAAGATTATTTGAATAAATGATTTTGTATTCTATTCTATTCTATTTACCGGGTTTTGTATGTAGGGTTCCCAAGCCTCTCGGATTGCCCGGGAGACTTCTGTAATAATGGTTAACCTCTCGGAGAACAATAATTTCTCCGGTTTTTTTTCTAAATTAAATAGATCCGTCGATCAGTCGCTCTGCGGCCACAACACTGCGTGCCACTCCACTAGTGCATCATGGAAGCGCGTATTCAGCATGATGGAGCAAAGAAAGAAACACTGACTGACCCTGTACTTGTAACTTTATTTATTTATTTATTTGCTTTGAATAGGTTACATTGTTCTTACAAATGAATATACAGTTCCATATTTAGCTACATTTTGAGCATGCAAATTTAAATTCATGTTAATATAACTTGTTAAATGTTAACAACGAATGTCATAATTATTTATATTGTTAAATGTCCAAAATATAATTAAGTAATAATAAGTATGTCCAAAATTAAAATTAAATGTAATAATAACAATTTATATCATTTATAGGAAATAATCCATGTTTGAAGTTGAGCTTCATGTATTCAGCGCTGAGGATATGTTGTAGTAGTCGTTCATCGTTGAAAATACTCGTGCATATTGTAAAAGCATTTATCTATTAACCATTTCTTAAATGCTAACTTAAAGGGCTTCATAGGTAGTTCTTTAAATTTTGGTATATTATTGTATATTTTTGCCATCATTACGTAACAATTTTTTTCATATAGTGTACTTCTACATGCAACAATAATCGTGTTGGATTTCTAGGTTTATGCCTGTTATTGATATCCGCCGTAACATAGAATTCTTGATGACTCTATTTATTTTTAATAAAGATATACTTTATTAAAAGCAAAGTTACAAGTACTAAAAACGACTTTATCTTATACTATGTAATGATACACATACATACATAAATACCTACTAATAACAATTGTTAGATTAAAAAATGTTTTTGAACTCGTTTGTAAAAATTCATATCATATTTTTGATAAACAATTAAAAACCAATCTTTATAATCTATTTCCGAAATATTTAAATTCAGTCAGATAATCGTTGTTTTGCTATATGAATTAAAATCTATTTAAAAAAATGGGGGCTGATAGTAGAAGGACGATAATTTGGTGTTGTATTTCACTACAAACTAGTTTTGCCCGCGGCTTCGCTCGCGTTAATTTGTCCCCTCAGGGGTGGAATTTATCAAAATCCTTTATTAGGGGATGCCTACGTCATAGTAGCTTTATGCATGCAAAGTCTCAGCCCAATCGGTTTAAAATTGACAAAGTTTCATACAAATTTTCATCCCCTATTTTATCCCCTTGGCGGTAGAATTAATCAAAACCCTTTCTTAGCCTACGTCATAACATCTACCTGCATGCCAAATTTCCGCCCGATCCGTCCAGTGGTTTGGGCTGTGCGTTGATTGTGTCACTATGTCAGTCACCTTTGAGTTATATATATATTTAGACGTAAATTAAAATTTTGCCCAAAAAATAAAAAAAATTATGTTAGGGGTGGACAACCCTTATCACTTAGGGGTATGAAAAATAGATAGTAGCCGATTCTCAGACCTACTGAATATGGATATAAAATTTTAAAAAATCGATCAAGCCATTTCGGAGGAGTATGGTAAAGAACTAACTTTAACACGAGAATTTTATATATAAGATTATATTTGATCTACTTTAAAAAACAACTGGCTACAACTGAGACTTCATTTAAAGTTAGCAGTTTACGTTCACCGACGCGGTATATCTCAGCGAAGCATCCGCCGAGGCGGAGTTCATGCCACCTATATTTAAAACTTATTACAAACTTAAAGATTACGTGGAACTAGTAACATATTCATTCTCGTTGGAGCTGAAATGACATGTGTACTTTGTGAACAGTTAGATGCTACTTTTGCTTGTATTTTAAATAAAAATGCTATATGTCTTAAAATGATTTTGCTATTGACTTAATAAAAAATAAACAAAAATGACTGGGCGGTGTGACAATTTCGAACTATTATGCCCGAGCCCAGTACAAAGAAAATGCTGAGCCTGAATAATTCCCGATTTACATCGTTATATAAAAACAGTTTAGACAGTTAGTCAAATCAGTCCGCGTCGATAACTCATTTCACTTGCACCTACATAGTTTGGGATAAGTTTGTTAATATAATAACTTGTGAAACCACATTTTCGAAATAAACTATCTGAAATCAAGTGACTTTTGTGTTGTGTTTTAAAAAGGTTTTTTTTAAAAACCCAAACGGTTCAGCCGCCTAACAGAACGCACTGCCGTAGTGGGGTGCAGTAGGCACGCTGGATGTATTTGTGTGAACATCAATACGAAGCGTTCATGTCAGGTCGACCTCCACGCGGTTTCCCCTGGAAACCATCGTGTTAAATTCCTGGTGAATTTGTCACGATGGGCTAACTGACCTGACCTCATGCTCATCTTATCATCCTCCACTGGTGCCCCGCCAGCGTAAACCGTTAGCGCCGGCGGGTGCATCATTCCATTATCATCCACAAAAAAAAAAAAAAAAATACGAAGCGTTAACACTTTGATAAGTAGAAAGATAGCGGGTACATTTTTGTTTTTTTTCTAATGCTGTTTTTCGATGTAGTTGTAACGGATCGGTGGACTGTATGGGTGTCTAAATGATGAAAACACGTAGTTTGCAATAATATAATATATTAATATGTGCAATTGCGAACTATACGAAAGACAATAATAGAATGATACAATAAATTGAAGTATATCAAATAACATGACATATAAAAAAGAACTCTTCAAAAATATAAATTTAAAAATAATAAAATATCAAAAGAGTTCGGCGGTCGGTCGCCAACAGTAGAATTAAATATTGTATAAAGTTATTTAGTTACGAATATAATAAACCCGTGCAAATTTCAAAAGTTTGTTACAATTTTTTTAACAGACACCGTTTTGAATGAGCTTCGCGTCGGTGAAACAACAAGAGCAGTATTGCAATTTAAATGTACAACACTGCTGGCAATTTTACGTCTGTCCACGAGTGGTGCACTCAAAGGCGAATGAAAAATTCGTAACTGAATTAAAAATCCCGTATTACCGAGACCATCGAACTCGTGTTTGGAAACATAAATAGAGATGTGTCAACTCGAGTTGTGCTGAATTAGAGTTAACTCGAGTTGAAATCTCCCAACTCGAGTTGGATTTTTTTCGGACTACTCTAATGCTTTTAGCTGCAGTTGGCCTTGTTAGTTCTTCTCATCTCGAAAGCATTCCGGACTGACGGTAGATTTGACATATAAGAGTCTGTAATAGACCTACATGAATAAAGATTTGATTTTGCTTTGATCTGATTATTGTATGACATCCCATTACAATATGTGGTACCTGCTGTTTTTTTCTCGGACTACTCTAATGCTATCGGCCGCAATACAGCTTCACCGGACGATAGGGGGCGAGTTCAGATGGCACTCCAATCCAAGGAAGGACTTATAGAGCGCCTAAAGGCCAACTTTTTTCGGACTACTCTAATGCTGTTGGCCGTAGCTGGCCTTTACAGCTTCACCGGACGATAGGGGGCGAGTGCAGATGGCACTCCAAACCAAGGAAGGAGTTATGGAGCGGCTGAAGGCCAACTTTTTTCGGACTACTCTAATGCTGTTGGCTGTAGCTGGCCTTTACAGCTTCACCGGACGATAGGGGACGAGTGCAGATGGCACTCCAAACCAAAGGAAGGAGTTATGGAGCGGCTGAAGGGCAACGATTGATGGATAAGACTTTAGTCTGGACACCTCTAAGGGTTTGAACCTTGGCTGAGGCCGTCGTAATTACCATCCCAATTTGAATTGGACGGGGGATCGATTGGAGTCTTGAGTTGAGAGAAATGATAGGTTTTAAGAGGAAATCCCTTGATTGGGACATTTTCGAATCGCCAGTGAATCGATGTAAAATGTATGAAATGTTCGGATTCATTCATATATATTCTAAAAAATACTCAAATAGGAATAGAATAAGAATAGAATAGAAAATCATTTATTCAAATAAACTTACATTGAAGTACTTTTGAATAGTCATTACATTTTTTTTAATCTACCGCTCGTTCGGAAAGCTGTCTCATCACAAGAAGAACGAGCAAGAAACTTGCGTGTTGCTCTTTTAAATAATTGTGTTATTACTTTACATTTTTAAGTTTAAGTGTGTGAATACAAACCACCAATTAGCACTAATTCAATTAAATACTCAAATAGAAAAAATATTGAATATATAACTGGTTAAACAATTAACAAGAGGAAATCAGTCATAGTGATTAGAGTCTCTACAAGCAGCACCCGTTCACGAGTATGACGGATGAGCCAGCCATCACTGCGCTCGACCATATTTTAAGGAGTTTACCTGTAGCCAAGCATGTGCTCATAAGTCCTTCTGAGGGTTTGAAGTGTCATTTCTACTCGCCGTCTATAGTTCTGTGAAACCGTCAAGGCCAACTGTGGTCGACAATGTTACAATAGTTCAAATTAAGAAAAACTGTTTTAAGGTAACTCGAGTTAACCCTTTTTTTAACGTCAGGAAAATCTTCATAGAGGCCCACCCGCTTAGGGGCCAAATGGGGACTGCCAGATTCTTACTTGCCAAAAACCTGACGATATTCCTCCTCGAACATATCGCCGTAGCCATGGGATCGTATATGCATTCTCCAAGACCACAGGAATGGTTCCCAGCGAAGGGACCGGCGTCAGGATTCATCTAGGCGTGCAGGGATGCCCTCTTCACTTTGGACTTGACTCCCTCTTCCGGACCCTAATGCCTCCCTAGTGAGCTTCGGAACTCGAGTTAAACATTTTTTTTTGTCCAAGTGTCCATCGACTCCTCCCCCCCCCCCCACCCGTGGCTCGTGCCGCGGCTTGGACCTTTGGCGGACGACACTGGTTTATGACGCCCACTCTATGGTCGGACTTGCGACCCGCCGCGGCATAGTACTGACATTTCGGTGATGGCGATGATGTTTGGATTCTCCCAGACCACCGGCATGACCGGCATGGTTCCCATCGAAGGGACCGGCGTCAGGATTCATCTAGGCGTGCAGGGATGCCCTCTTCCAGACCCTAATGCCTCCCTAGTGAGCTTCGGATGACAACTCGAGTTAACCCGAGTCAACTCGAGTTAACTCGAATCATGTTCATCACGAGTTAGCACATCGCTAACAAAAAGCAAGAGGTCAGATGATTGCTGTTTTTTGTTGTTCAGTTTGCAAACGGCTGCCTTTTGGACTGTCGGTGGAAATGAACGTGAAAATATTTGTACTCTCTTCGTCACACATGCCACTGACAATTTAACAAAAAATCGACACATCAGCCCAAATTGATTTTGCATACAGCGTTGTTTTGGCATCAAAGAGTTAGTGTGGAATACAGGCCAGTTATTGTTTATGTTTTTGGAAGGATTACAAAATATAACTACACAGGGTAAAATAAAAAAGACAAATATTGAACCCCATAGAAAATAGACGAGGAAAAATGTTAGGGCACTTGATACGGCACGATGATTTCATGAAAATTATTATTGAGGAGAAAATAGAAGGAAAGAGGGGGAGGGGAAGACCAAGGAATAGCTACATCAAACAAATTGAGGACAAAATGGGAGTCGTGTCGTATCAAGAATTAAAGAGCATGATGGAATATCGCGGAAAGTGGCAAGAGCTCCACCGACAAGAGCGTAGCTCTTAAATTATGAATGAATGAATGAACAAAATATAAGTTTTGTAAGTGTACAGATATGTATACTAGCCGTGCCTGCAACTTTGTCTGCATGTGAATAAATAATAATAATAAATAATCTCTGTACAATTCACACAGCGCCATCTAGACCTAAATTAAGCTACCTAAAGCTTGTGTTATGGGTACTTGACAACTGATACAGATACATAGATATGTTTTTTTCTTCGTAAATACATACATATTATATATAGAAAATATCCAGACCGATACAAACAATCATACTCATGAATACAAATGTTTGTGCCGTGCGAGGAATCGAACCCGCGACCACCGGACGTAAAGCGGTGTACTAGACCGCTAGACCACCGAGGTCGTCAAATGTATGCAATTCGTTGCGAATGTACGCAAAGTGTATGCGAATAGACGACAAATGACGAATTTTCATACGTACTTTCAACCTCTATTTTATTTTACCCCCCTTAAGTGTGATATTTTTAGAATAACTTTGAATGTCATATTTATTTATTTTAGCTTAAAATATTAGTAGTTTCAAACTTCTAGTTTTAAAAATGACATACAACCTTTCTTTCCTATCTCTCCTTTCACCTATGTCCTAGACTATGTACTTTCTCAGGGTTTATACTACCTATGTACCAAACTTCATTTAAATTGTTTTAGCAGTTTTGGCGTGAAACAATGACTGAAAGAGTTACTTTCCCATGTAAAAGTAGTACGTTGTGTTCAAATTCAAAATATCTTTATTCGTGTATGTCTATTACAGACTCTTATGATATGTCAAATCTACCGTCAGTTCGGAATGATTTCGAGATGAGATGAACTGGCAAGAAACTCAGCTCGTATTCCTTTCAAATAAATGTTGTACATGTTTATATATACAGATTCATGTTTAAATTCAAATTTAGGAGAATAAAGTGATCATAATATAAGAAAAAAAAATTAAATTAAATAATTTTGCCAGATTGAGCCAGTGCTCAAGTTTGCACTCTGTATAATGAGACTATGTGCAGTGTTTTTTTCATTTATCCTAAATAATTTTACCAGATTGAGCTAGTGCTCAGGTTTCCACTCTGTATAATGCGAGTATGCAGTGTTGTAAGATGGTGCGGTTGTGGGCACGGCGGGTGTGGAGCGGTCCAATGCATTTGAAATGAGTTCAATTCTACCCGGATAAGGCTCCGGGCTCCGAGCGTCAGGTACCGTTCCTGTAATTTACCGCTGAGTGGTTAGCTAGAAATTTCTACTTGAGAAAATGCAGGCAAGGGTATTTCCGTAACCATTAATTTTTTTCTCAGAAGTTTTACACTGAATAAAACAAGCAAGCACGAAGAAATCGCTGCTACTCGCGACCTTCGCCCGGGTGTACGTGTATTATACATATAAACCTTCCTCTTGAATCACTCTATCTATTAAAAAAAAAACGCTTCAAAGTCCGTTGCGTAGTTTTAAAGATTTAAGCATACATAGGGACGGACAGACAGCGACAGCGACTTTGTTTTATACTATGTAATGATATGGAATACGCTACGCATTCGTTATTTTTAACTTTCGTGTTTAATATGCATTACTTATATTATTAACCGGATCTTAACACGAATAATTATATGACAAACTAGCTGTGACCGCGACTTCGTCCGCGTGGGAAGTAACTTTATTTTTCTAAAATAAAAGCAATCTAAGTTACTCCTTATTACATCAGGCACCTGCCAATAAAAGTCCCGTCAAAATCGGTCCAGCCATTTCGGAGATTAGCCGGAACAAACAGACAGACAGACATAAATTATAAATAACTAGCTTTTGCCCGCGGCTTCGCTCGCGTTAATTTATCCCATTAGGGGTGGAATTTATCAAAATCCTTTCTTAGGAGATGCCTACGTTATAGTAGCTTTATGCATGCCAAGTCTCAGCCCGATCGGTTTAAAATTGACAAAGTTTCATACAAAATTTCATCCCCTATTTTATCCCCTTGAGGATACAATTAATCAAAATCCTTTCTTAGCGGATGCCTACGTCATAACATCTACCTGCCAAATTTCAGCCCGATCCGTCCAGTGGTTTGGGCTGTGCGTTGATAGATCACTATGTCAGTCAGTCACCTTTGAGTTATATATATTTAGAAGATGTGATTTTGGTGTATGTACCGTATTTAAATTCATATGTATGTAGTAAAAAACGGTTATTTAACTATTTGGGATCTTTGCTTTGCTTATTTTGGATGACATGGGGGTGGGGGAGTCTAGATGATGATTACGTCATCGGTCGTCATTGACTTTTTTACACGAATGTCAACCCTCACATTGTCTGTGCTAAAAAAACAATACATTAATTAAAAAATGTTTACATAAGCATAGGGGGAGGGGGTAAGAGCTTTGCTTTTGCTTGCAAGGGGGTTGGGGGGGGGGGGGGGGGAATAATTGTAATAAATCTGGTTACGTAATACTAGAACGACCCCTAAAGATATTTCGAATTTTGAATATTATACATCCCAAACTCCCTTAGCGACGTTGATAATGGATACGTTCCACTTCCTCTAACAGTTAATTGCTCTGTCACACTATACACTAGATCGACACGTGATATGTCCCCGGTAGTCTAATATATACTGTTCAAAATCTACCCTGTACCATCGTAAGCACAGATTATTATATTAGAGTCCGTTAGTTTCTGTTCCCGCGCTTTTGCTTTCCCCTCCCTTACCCAGTACTGAACTGACCGTACGCCGGCCATGACGCGCGCGCGCCTTTATTGTGAGTTAAAATAAATTAGAACTGTGTTAAACCTACTGTGAAACTGGAAAGCTAGCGAAGATATCTTCGAGACCCTGAAGCCCAAGAAATCCGCAGAACCATACAGGTACGAAACAGACGTTTCCAAATATTTTTCCCTATATATATACATAGTACTTTCCCTAACATTTTGGTAGCAGAGAGTAAATTCCCTAACATATACGTATACCTAATTTATAACCTATAACAAATTACACAGCGCCATCTATTCCCAAGACAAGCAAAGCTTGTGTTCTACATGATAGGTAATAATGAAATGGTGCACCCGCCTGCGCTAACGACTTATGATGGCGAAGCATGATGACGATGATAGGATGAGCACGAGGGCAGGTCAGTTAGCACATCCTGGTAAATTTACCAGAAATGTAACATGATGGTTTCCAGGGGGTACTGCGAGGTCAACCTGACAAGGCTGTGAGACAAATGAACATGATTTTTAAAAATGAAGTATAGTTTAAGGAGGTGTATGTACATGCCCCTTTAGGGTTAGGTTTATGACCTACATTGTTGAGAACCTGGGAGAACGATACAGCCGAGAGACAGAATATAAGTGTGTTTATTATATTTTTTTCGGACTACTCTAATACTGTTTGCCGCAGCTGGCCTTTACAGCTTTACCGGACGATAGGGGGCGAGTGCAGATGGCACTCCAGGAAGGACTTATGGAGCAGCTGAAGGCCAACTCCCGCCTGACGGATACGACTTTAGTCTGAGGGCACCACTAGGGGTTCGAACCTCGGCTCAGGCCGTCGTAACATCGATCCCCATTGAATTGGACGAGGGATCAACCGGAGAAATAAAAAAAATTGATCAGCTGACATAAAAAAAAACAATTTTTTGCGTGGTCACATTTCTTAGAATAGAACAGAAAATCATTTATTCAAATAAAATTAATTTTAGCACTTTTGAATAGTCATGATATATTTTTCTTAATCTACCGCTCATTCGGAAAGCTGTCTCATCCTGAATTTGTGTTGTTGCTCTTTTAAATAATCCTTGTAAGTTTACATTTACAATTCAAAACGTGCGAATACAAACCACCAACTAGCATCAATTAGCTTCATATATTAAGTACATAATAAGATTAAATCAGTCTGTTTGGGATACTACTCTGCTACCAAAATGTTAGGGAATTCACTGTATATATAGTGAAAAATGAGTGGAAGCGTCAGTTTCGTACCTGTATGGTTGTGCGGATTTCTTGGGCTTCAGGGTCTCGAAGGTATCTTCGCTTTTCAGTTTCACAGTAGGTTTCACCGTTCTAATTTATTTTAATTCACAACACAATGCGCGCGCGTCATGGCCGCCGTACAGTCGGTTCTAGGTAAGGGAGGGGAAGGGAAACCGCGGGAACACAAACTAACGGACTCTAATATAATAATCTGTGCTTACGATGGTACAGGGTAGATTTTGAACAAGTCATAGTGATAAAATCAGACCAGTCCCTACAAGCAGCACTCGTTCACGAGTACTTCGTATGAGCCAGCCATCACTGCGCTCGACCATATTTTAGGGAGCCCAATGACTCGAGTTCTCTAAGCATTATCATTTCAATTTGTCAATTGTCAACATATCGGAGATGATACCATGACACTTGA